ATAATATATATTTTATGTACTCAAAAGCCACTTGGCAACCCCAAAACATAAAATCTTATAATCCTTAAAAATCCTAAGATTAAAATTGTTAAATGCAAGAACCCTTAGAAATACTAAATCTAGAAGATAAATAAAATAAAATAAAGCCGAATCAAATTAATTCCTCGGGTAAACCGAGGCTTGATTAATATTATAAAATAGAAAGATTTATAAATTAAGGCTCTCAAGCAAGGGTTTATTTATGCAATTCGATTGACAACAATGATTCACAATAGTATGTTTTAAAGCATTACAAATTGAAATCTAAATCATAATACGAAGTTATCCTTCGAGAAATAAAATACCTTTCAGAATTAAGAGTATGCCAAAACATTATTCAATTAAAGACTGTGTTTTTGAGCGAATGATCGCTCTATATGATTATTAATTACGCTCAGCTCGGTGACCTCAATTAGCAAATAAAACAAGGTATTAAATTTAATGAAGAGTAACTTAAACTTATAATGATACAGCTACTCTTAGCTATTGATTTGACCCATAAATATTCTATAATCCACAGAGATTTAAAACCAGCAAATATTCTTCTATTAAACAATGAGACTCTAGAAATTTAGCTATCTGATTTTGGATTATCATGTAATAACGAAGATATTAAAAGAAAGTCACAATATTGTGGAACTCCAGGCTATATCGCTCCAGAAATAATTAAAGGGAATGAATTCGATTTTAAGAGTGATATTTTTAGTGTAGGGTCTGTTATGTACTTTCTTCTTTAAGGTAAATGTTTTTTCAAAGGCAATAACAAGAAAGAAATGCTTATTGATAATATGTGAAGGAATCCAAAAAAATTATATAATCGATTATTCGGAAAGCTATCGGAGGAAGGAATAGAACTGTTAGTTTTAATGCTCTCAAGTAATCCTGCTATTAGACCTACAGCTGAGTAATGCTTAAAGGTAAGATTTACATCCATAACACTCTAAAGCATTGTTGGTTTGAGCGTGACAAAAAAGCGATCACATAATGCCTAAAGTTGAATCAGATGTCTTAAAATGACTTCCTATTTAATAATTTGGCAGAAAAGTAAACTGAAGACATTAAAATTAATTACAATAAAATAGTTTGGGAAAACAGAGGTAGTAAACTGCAAATATATAAGAACATGGGCTCATTGAATTAGACTAGCCCTCATTTAAATATTTCTCAAACAGCAGATTAAAGACCTTAAACAAATGGCATTAAATTTATTTAAGAAAAGTTTTAGAATATTTAGGTAACCCCTGAACCAAGCTTGAGCAGATTTTAATAAGAATCTCAGGAAAAATCAATACAAGATTAGATAAACTGTTCAAAATTCCAATCAGTCCATGCTCTTGCATCTAATCTTTGCTCAAGTAATGATGAAAATGAAGGAAATTTTTCTGTAGATTATTTAGATGAAGATTAAAAAATGACGAATAACTTGAATCGCTTGGCGATAGTAGACGTCTAAGATGAAAGCAAGTAATTATATACTAAAAATCAGACAAGATGCTATAGAATTTTTGAATGATAAAGTTGTGTAGGAAATCTATTGATTGTAAGTATGAAGGTCAATTGGCTCATGATAAATTTTAAGGTTCAGTTAGTACTTTATGCATTCCAAATTGAAATGATTTAAAAAATAATGAATTTAGTTTAATTAAATAAATAGAGAAATTTTATTTTCCAAATACTTTTATGAAATTGGTACAAAGGGGTTTTGGGGTTTTGGGG